TTCTATCGAGTTATATATTAATAATGTTCGTTTCGCACACAAATTTGATTTATAAAAAAAAAAAAAAAAAAAAATCAGTTTATTTGAAATTTCTAAGTACATTATGCTTATGTATACTTTATATTTTAATTAAATTTAATTAAGTATTAAGTTGTTTTTTTTTTTTCATCAACAACCAGAGAAAGTGATTTAGCCTATTATTTGCATTAAAAGAAAATACTATTTAGTTAAATTGATTTGTTTTAAAATTCGAACTGAATTTATTTATTTTAATCTTTATAAATATTACAAATCAAACTGTAAACTGAAATTCCTGAGCTACGATATATTAAAATCTTGTGATTTATAATTTTAAAAATGATTATTTCGTATTTCGCTTACATTTATAATTTATTAATATATAATTTTGTTGTGATGATCAGCTAATGATAAAATACCTATGCTTACAATTAAGTTCTTGCGCTGATGGGCCTGAATCATTGCTTAAAAAACTATGATAATTAAATCTGCTTAGCCTGAAAAAAAAATTATATATACCTATACAAAATAAATATTTCAAATGTTTAAATAAAAAATAATTGAAGGCTTTAAAACAATGTTTGTATATTTTAATTGGAAGAAACGTGAGCTGGAGTCATTTTATAGGATACGAAAACTAAATTGAATGGAATTTATAAACCAAATAAGTAGTTCGAACTTTTTTTAAGTTTAAACAAATGAAAACCTTGTCTAAATCGAATTGTTATTCATTAGCTTAAATGTGGATGACTTTATGCTTAGCTCCAATTTTCTCGTAGTTGTTTCTGTCAGGATAACAAGAATGTTTATAGCTGGAAAGTATATAGGCTTACAAAATTAACCACTTTAAAGAACTTTGTATATTGCATAAATCTAAAATGTGATTAGGTTCCGGCCGGCTCTGCTTGAAAATAAAAAAAAAAGAAAACCTGTTTAAATTGGAACTGACTTTGGTTCCTCTATGAAGTCTAGACCGTCTACACCAAAGTATGATTCACTTTTGGTTCTTTTCCGATTAGTTTCATAATTCTGCAGTTCCAGGTAAAATAAAAACGGTTTTAATCAGAATTGTCTTTTGAGCCATGTTTAGTTTTCTGCTGTTGCCATGATGCAGTTCAGATTGCAGCACATACATAATTAAAAGAGAACCTGCTCGAACCGGTTCGCTGTAAATTTTGAATAAGAGATGAGCTTTATTCGTAAACAGAAAAATCAGGCGACACTCACTCAAACGGGACAGGCAAACGGCAGCAAAACTAAATAATAAATAAAACATAAACTCAAGTTGCAGTGGAAATTTTTCAAATGTTCATAGACACAATTGTTGTCGTTATTGTTGTAGTTGTTGTGGCTGTTGCTGTGGACATTGTATCGTCTAGCATGCATACATAAATATGAGAACATTCGAGTAGAAAATCTGCGATTATGGACAAACCAAACAGCCCCGAGTCCCAGTCCCAGTCCCAGCCCCAGCGCCAGCCGCACAATCAAATCAACGTTGTGGGCGCAGTGGGCCAAACAAGGGGGTCGCTGCTGGGGTGGGGGTGGATTTTTGGAAGTGGGGGATGGGGGATGGGAATTGAGATCTCTCAGCAGAGACATGATGAGGGCAAGTAGTATTTGTCAACGTAATTTTTGCCAATTCAATTAATGCTCATTTAAAGCACAGCAGCAACAGCCCAGGCGGCAGGCAACTGCAGCAGCAACATGATGATGATGATCATCATCATCATTATTATCGTTATTCGCATTGTCATCATCATGATCAGCATACAAAAGCCGGAGAGCAGCCTAATGGGCAGACATTATCAGAGGTTATCAAAAAAGATTTAGCATGATTTCCATAAAGAAACATCTGGAAATAATAAGGGTTTACGTGAGTGGAAGGAGAATAGAATAGAATACATATATGTATATATTTCAGCTGATTTTGAATAGCTATATGTATGTATATAGTGTTTATGTATGTATGTGTATAGGGGTTGATGAATACTGAGCTGTTGCTTGTCATTTTATTTCCATAGTAAACTTTATAAATAAAAAAAAAAAATTTAAAAATATTTTGTATACATTTACTGCTCAGATATAATGTGGGTACAATTTCTTTTTTAATACTTACAAAGCTTAAAAAATTTTTTTTTTATGAAATGATCATTGTTTATTTTTTTTTTTTTTAGAATTGTGCTTACGCTAATTAAATCGATTGCTAAATAAAATTTAAAAAAATATACATGTATTAAATAACTAAATAAATATATGTTTGAAAATTTACAAATATAAAAAAGTCGTCTTTGTGTATATTTTTGGTATTTTGTTATTTCTATTGTAATAAATTTAGAATTATGCTTTGGGTAATTAATTGAATTAATTTAAATGAAGAGTTAAACGCATAAAAAAAAAAGATTTAAAAAAAAACATACATATGTGATTATATTTGATATGTTTGCAAATTTAGCTAATACATATATGTATATACTTAATATATTTTTAATTAGGCCAATTTATATGTGAGAACTAAATTGTCATTGACCTACTACTCTATTATATATCCAAAAACTAGTTTTTTTTTTTTTTTTGTTATTGATTTCTATCTTTTATTTATTAATACATCTAAATCATTTTTTAGTTTTCTAAAACGCACAGTCAATCAATTGATTAATATTTAGGTCATGTCATTAAGTACTTAAAATACCTAGCGAAACAGTGATGTGCATAAGTAAAGGGACAAAGGCATGTGCATATAAACAAACTCACACTTGCACGTACATAGATATGTAGATCTATAGATACACCACACTGATTATGTGCCGTACTTTTCCGCTATTATTTGGCTTACAGTCAGAAAATACAAAAAAAGAAACAAAAAAACAACTCTTAAATGATATTAGATTTAAGATTATTATCCAGCTCAGGGATAAGCAAGATAAGGGCTGTCTTAGACTGATTATGATAATGATGGTTATGATTATGATTACAGATAAATGTCAAATTGAATCTGAGGTCAAAGAGCATAGAACAATATCTAGCAAATGTAAGAAAAATTCAATTGCACTTTTAATGTAGTCTATATATAAGCAACTGTAAATATATATAATATATATTACATATATAAGTATGCAAATAGATAAGTCATATTAATCTCAGCCTTAGTTAAGTGCTAGTGACTTTTAAAGTCGACTTAAATTCCAAATCCAATTGAAATTTTCGACGTAGCCGTACAAATCGTTGACTCAATTGAAGCTGCCCCCTTCTACGGCCAACCCTCCATCGCTAGCGTCGCGACGCGGTGGCGTTCGGCGGCTCGAGTCGTGCGCGCCCCAATGATTTGTATAAAAGCCCATGCGACAGGGCAGTCAATCATTAGTTATCACTCTGGTGTCCAACCACACAGCCAAAGCACAGCCCAAACAGAAACCAAAAACGAATCCTGCAAATATGAAGAACACCGTTGCCATTCTACTGTGCGCCTTGATTGGCCTGGTAAGTGTGCCACGCCCACGCATTTCAAAGTATACATTCCTCTAGCTAAATCCACACTCTTGTCTGCCAGGCTTCCGCTGCCGAGTACAAGCTGCGCACCGCCGAGGATCTGCAGAAGGTGCGCAAGGAGTGCGCCGAGGCCAACAAGGTGACCGAAGCCCTCATTGCCAAATACAAGACCTTCGAGTACCCCGACGATGAGATCACACGCAACTACATCAAGTGCATCTTCAACAAATTCGATCTGTTCGAGGACACCAAGGGCTTCAAGGTCGACAACCTGGTCGCCCAGCTGGGCCAGGGACGCGAGGACAAGACCCAACTGAAGGCCGATGTGGAGAAGTGCGCCGATAAGAACGAACAGAAGTCGCCGGCCAACGTCTGGGCCTATCGCGGCTTCAAGTGCTTCCTCAGCAAGAACCTGCCCCTGGTGCAGGCCGCCATCCAGAAGAAGAACTAAGCATTCCACAATCAATGCACCGGCACCGCCACCGCCATCGCCAGGAGGCGGCGCATCCCGTCAAGCAATCGAATGTTGCGTGTGCATCACACAAACTTTTTGTGCTATTTGCTGCATTTTCTTTAAAATTGAAATAAAAATCGTATAATAGCGAGCCATAAAGCTAATATTTTATTTTATTTTGAAACATGATCTTTTTAATATATATATAAACTACATGATCCTAATATTATGCAAGGCCATAATAATGCCGGCCAATGAAAAGTTCGTCCCAGTTTATGGATAGCTGGAGCTGTGCTTCTTCTTCATCATCATCATCATCATCATCTTCTTCCCAAAACCTTGTCCCACCCAAAGGAAAGGCATAGAAAAGTTGTTTAATTCGTTTATATTTTTCATCATCTTTTTCGGTTTTTATCATATTTTTCTTTGTATACTATTATGTATATATAGATTTATTTTTTTCGGAAACAGCAAGATTTTTATTAATTATCTTGTTTTTTTATTTTTTGCTTTTATTTTTATTTTTTGTGGTGTTTTTCATCTTTTCCTTTTGTCTGCAATTTTTTCATAATCTTTTTTCTTTAATTTTTTTAATCCTCTCTTTTTTTATTTTGCCTTCTTTAGAACTTCTTTTGTTTTTATTTTTTATTCTGCTTTTCTTTGTCCTCTTTTTTACATGGTTTACTTTTTCTCTCCACTTTTTTTTT